GTTGGGGTCGACGCCCTTGAAGGTGGTGGTGGTGGTCATGGCGCCGAGGAGCGAGGTAGGCTGGCGCGGGAGCGGAGCGCTGAAAGGGTCAGGTCTGAGGAGCGTAGAGTAACCCCAACAGCCCAGAACCGGCGACCGCTGCAAGAACCTCCGCCGCTGTTTGCCAGCCGGACCGCAGCCTTTATAGGGCTCACAAACCCCGCCCCCGCCCCGGCGGCATTGGCCAATTCAAACGGGCCTCTTCACTCCTACTGGCTTCCTGGAGTGCCAAGCATCCTGCGGCTTCACGATGGGCTGAGGCGGCCCCTGCTCAGCCTAAACCCACCCTCTTCCTGGTCAGGGAAGGTCTAGGGAAGTTTCCCCTCCCCCACTCTCAAATCTCGGAGATGATTGGACAAAGGACAAACCTGCCCCGCGCTCGGTACAAGTTGTGCTCGCTGTCACTTAAAAAAGTTACCTTGCTAGAAGGAAAAGCTCGCTCTGGGCGAGTTGGAATCCGCAAGCCAAGGGCACGTTTATCTTTACCATTCATTTATTTGCCTTACTCATGGAGGGTAGCAAGGGCATGCTCCTCAAGGGATGAAAATTACTGCTACAAATGGACGTTTATTGAATATCTACTATGTGTCCTGTTTGGAAACCTGACGGTCCCAAAGCAGAAGCACTATGAATCAGCAACAGAAAGCACACAAAGATGATCCCTTCTAAAAGGACTGGAAATCCTTTACATTTTAATGTTACTATTTAGCTGTAACGTGTGGTGCATGCACTAGACCAAAATTACAGTCGTTCCGATTTGAGGGCCTGTTCTTAAGGCTGGTTAATGCCCGGCCTCGGGGAATGGCCACATCCCTTGCTACTAAGACCATGGGAGTAGCCCAGGCCTCTGCAGCTGCTTATAACCATTAAGTCATGACTCTTCCACCTGTCTGGGTAAATCTATCCCTGCAACAAATGCAGACACACTTGGAGGGCTCAGGAATGACTGTTTAGAAGACCGTAATAGCAGTCTTGGGCAAACAAGAGGGAAGGCCTTCCCTGTCACGCTGTTTCCTCAAGGCAGACCTCTTTTTCAGTATTTCCATAACAAGTGAACTACACTCCTCTTTGTGTGGCCTCCTCCTTCCAGGCAGTTTGTGTTGGTCAACCATTCTCCTGGGCTTTCAGGAAAAGCCAGACAAGCTCTTCTCTTCTAGAAGGCCTGGATCATGTCTTTATGTGCTTACCACAAAAGCATGAAGCACACTACTTGTTTGGATTAAAATCTTCCCTTTCCTAAAGGCTGAGCTTAAATTTCCAAAACCTTAAAACAAAAACAAAACCAAAAACCTCTTCAGGCCAACCTAGCTAGTGAGCATGCATCTCCTCCTGAAAAGTCATATAATTAGGAGGTAGTGGAATATGGTGGTTGCTAGCTCAGGGTCTCAAAGGACAAATGCAGGTTTGAATCTTGACTCCTACCTTTTTCTGAGCACTAGTTTCATTTGTAAAATAAGGATAGACTAGTATCTAGACTCCATAGAGCTGTGAGGACTGGATGAGGTAATGGATGTAAAGTACCTGTCCTGACATAAGTCACCAAAGTGACAAGACATTTTTATTATAAGACTTACTTGGAAAGTAGCCACATATATATATATATATTTTTTAACAATCTGCAATTGTTTTTTGTTAAGTTAAATGAGGGGTTTAGACTTGACTCTTAGGGTCTCTTGGCCTAAACTTTTGAGTTTGTACTGACTTGCCTTATTTCCTCTGGAAACCAAAAAGCCTAGGTTCTGGTTCTGCTCTCTCCCAATTTAAGACACTTCTAGGTCATTTATATCCTTGAGCCCAGTTTCTTCATCTGTAAAATGGGGTTAACAGCACCTATTCTGCCAACCTGGGAACGAGATAACTGCAAGAATGTTTTACTCTTTAAATGAAAGCTTTTTTTTTTTTTTTTTGAAAGCTTTCTATTAGAGTTACCCCACCTGGCTGCACATCAGAATAATCTATGAGCTTTTTTTTAAACCTATGAGCTTTTAAGAAGTACAAATGAATGCAAGGATCCAGAGATCTACTGAATTGGAATTTCTGCATATAGGGTCCAGTCATGGATGTCTATAATAAGTTAAACAGCCAATTCTCACATATAGCTTGGGCTGAGAACCTTTGCTTCAAAGGTAAGGAATCAGTTCCAGTACGCTTTTTAATTTACTCTGATTTATGAAGAGCAGTAAATTTATATAAAACAGACATCTGATTAAGGCCATCTTAGGCAAGCCTGTTTGGAACATTCTTTGTATTTTAAAGTAAATACTGCCAGAAATTTCCAGAATAACTAGCTCTATTTACTTGTTCATGTACTTAATAGTTTTAACCAAATCACTGTACTCCACTTTCTGCTGCAAGATGGAGATTTGGGGTAAAAAATATGATATGTAGCTCTGCTATAACCTTTGCTCCAGATGACCAACTAAGTTGAAAATGGGATATTAATAAAATTATATTTTTCCCAAAAGATCAACACAGATCGAGATCAAAAGATGCAAAAGGATGGGGCAATGTGAACATCTGCTTACAAAATCATGAAGGCCCATCATTATGATTTTTAAAATACACACTAGGGTCTGTATCAATAAGTAAATTGCTTCAAATTCCCAGGTTAACCTAAAAATCTAAAGAAACAGAAAGACAGATGAAATCTTATAACAAGGAATGGTCTAACAGCTATTTCATGACCTACAGCAGTGGTTTTATTTATTTATTTATTTTTGGCTGTGTTGGCTCTTCGCTACTGCTCACGGGCTTTGCGGAGAGTGGGGGCTACTCTTCGATGCAGTGCGCGGGCTTCTCATTGCAGTGGATTCTCTTGTTGTGGACCATGGGCTCTAGGTGCGCAGGCTTCAGCAGTTGTGGCATGCAGGCTCAGTAGTTGTGGTGCACAGGCTTAGTTGTTCCATGGCATGTGGGATCTTCCCAGACCAGGGCTCAAACCCGTGTCCCCTGCATTGGCAGGCAGATTCTTAACCACTGCGCCACCAGGGAAGTCCACAGCAGTGTTTTTTAAACTTTTATAAAGCAGAATCCAAATATATAAAATAGATTAACAGAGCAGCTGTGATTGAATCCTGGCCCTCTCTGCTTCCTCCTGTCCTTTGCCACTCTCCACTTGGTCCTCCTCTTTTTGCACCTCAGGGTTCCGTGAAATTTTAAAACCACTGCCCTATATGTATGTCCATTTTCACCTGCTTTTTAAATATAGTTAACAGGAAGAGAATGAGCAGTTGCTTCCACTTCCTTAATTCCACTTCCTTAACTTTGTCTTTAAGCAGTTAAGTGTTCCCTAACTTCCCTTAGTCCCACGCTGCCACCTCCCTACTATATCCAAAGTACTATTCTTCTATTTGTAATTCAATTCAGAAAGCCTAGTAGTAATCACCTTTCCCAATAGGTTTTTTTTTTGTGGGGGCGGGGAACTTCCCCAACCAGGGATCGAACCTGTGGCCCCTGCACTGGAAGCACAGAGTCTTAACCACTGGACCACCGGAGAAGTCCAATAGGTTTATTGGGTTTTTTTGGCTGCGTTGGGTCTTCGTTGCTGAGCAGGGCTTTCTCTAGTTGCGGCCAGTGGTGATTACTCTTCGTAGCGGTGCGTGGGCTTCCCATTGCAGTGGCTTCTCTTGTTGCAGAGCGTGGGCTCTAAGGGCACAGGCTTCAGTAGTTGCAGCATGAGGGCTCAGTAGCTGCGGCACGTGGGCCCTAGAGCGTGTAGGCTTCAGCAGTTGTGGTGTGTGGGCTCAGTAGCTCCTCAGCATGTGGGATCTACCCAGACCAGGCAGGGATCGAACCCATGTCCCCTGCATTGGCAGGCGGATTCTTAACCACTGCGCCAACAGAGAAGTCCCCCAATAGGTTTTTGCAAACCCAATATTCTCAGAATTTCCTTAGAACACAATCTATTGTTCTGAAGCAGGTGGCAAAAAAATCATTATTTAAAAGGTGTCAGAAAATGATGAAGGCCCTAATAATTTTTGCTTTAATATAGACAGGAATCCTGTTGGTTTTTACATTTGTTGCTGAGTATGTGGACAGTTTTATTCAAGAATGCAATGTATAACTTAAAATAGAACAATCTGCTAGTTGTTCTTCACGATTTGTGCCTAAGGACAATAAACAAATTTTAACCAAACACAAAAAAGTGCACTAACATATCATCTCTTCATTCTCAAGCATGTGTTTGTCTTGAATGTTACCAGCTTTCCACTGCTAGGCAAAGTGTTCTGAGTCCCCCATAATTTCAACCTGCCCCTATTTATTCCAAAATGCCAGAGGAAATGGGCAATCTACATGGCATCCTTATTGGAATTTACTCTACCTAGAGTCTGCAGTCAGGTTTGAACCAACCTCTTAGAACAGTGTCTTTCGCTATGATCCAATACATACATATTAGGTTGACCCATATGACATGGCAGATATTTGACTATTTTTGACCTACATGTATAGCACTTACTTATGTTCAACCACACTTTAATACAGACTCTTAATGTTTTCTATTCCTTATTATTAAAAGAAAATACTGGTCATGTGCTTCTGAACTTGGGTAAGTAACTTAATTAATGAACGGCCCAACAAGTATTTCTAACAAGTTTCACTTCTCAACCCCAGTATTGCAGGGTGCCCCGTAAGTACATCACTCACACATACATTCTGCATCCATCACTCCTAGAGCCAAATTTAGTATGCATCTGTCCATTCTTTTCTTAGCTGCATCCTCACCACAAAAAAAAAAAAAAAAAAAAAAGGCAGATCAATGCCACCAAGAGAAAAACAACCCAAGGAGTTTATTTTCTCTAAAAATTCATTTGCCATTAAATAAATCAAATGAACCAACCTAGATGTCTCAAATATGGAAAATGGTTTTGTCATATTCTTGCCTTCTCTTTATCCAAAGTTAAGATAAACAAAATGGCACATACACTGTACTAAGGTCTGATATGCCCCTCTAGTCACTCTGAACTGCAGAGAGGGAGAGCATGATTCATATTTCCCCATTATTTCCTCCTCCTCTCAGACTAAGAGCTGAATGAGATTATGTGATTTAAATTTGTCTTCTTTCTTCAATTCTAAGCTATTTCTCTAATAAACAAGTTAAAAAAAAAAAAAAACCATCTAACAAATCTGTCCTGTTCTCCTAAGATGAATTTAGCCTCTTTTGCAAAAATAGTTACTAAAATTACAAACATCGGGACTTCCCTGGTGTTCCAGTGGGTAACACTCTGTGCTCCCAATGCAGGGGGCCAGGGTTCAATCCCTGGTCAGGGAACTAGATCCCACATGCATGCCGCAACTAAGGAGTCCGCATGCCACAACTAAAAAAAGAGCCTGGGGCTTCCCTGGTGGTGCAGTGGTTGAGAGTCCGCCTGCCGACGCAGGGGACACGAGTTCGTGCCCTGGTTCAGGAAGATCCCACATGCTGCAGAGCGGATGGGCCTATGAGCCATGGCTGCTGAGCCTGCGCGTCCGGAGCCTGTGCTCCACAACGGGAGAGGCCACAACGGTGAGAGGCCAGCGTACTGCAAAAAAAAAAAAATTAAAAATTAAAAAAATTAAGAAAAGAGCCTGCACGCCGCAATGAAGATCCTGTGTGCTGCAACTAAGACCTTAAATAAATAAATAAAATTTTTAAAAAAAAAAGATCTTTAAAATTACAAACATCAAATAACTTAAAAGGGTATGCACAGCAAAGAATGGGAAAATTCTTGGTATTCCAAATTCTGTAACTTGTTGCAAAATTAGCCACATAATCCATCTTACAGTATCAAGTGCAAAGAAAACAAATATTACATGAAAATTCTTGGACTTTAAACTGTTTCACAAAGGCCCTAAGGATGTAGGAAATCCTAAAATGATCTCATACATAATCACATGTCACTGCTTACAGGGAAATAACACTCCACATTCCAAATAATAGATTAAATTCCTAACCTGTTTTCCACTGTGAGGCACTCTTTTCATTAGTTAACCACTACACACACCAGTCTCATTATACGTTTTTTTTTTGTTTTTTTTTTTCCTTGAGGTACGCGGGCCTCTCACTGCCGTGGCCTCTTCCGCCGCGGAGCACAGGCTCCGGACGCGCAAGCTCAGCGGCCATGGCTCAAGGGGCCCAGCCGCTCCGCGGCACGTGGGATCCTCCCGGATTGGGGCACAAACCCGCGTCCCCTGCATCGGCAGGCGGACTCCCAACCACTACTGTGCTACCAGGGAAGCCCCAAAGTCTCATTATAAAACACATATATTTCTTACTACATCCAGGACTAACCCTCAAATCATCACCTACATAATCAAAATGTTGAAGCATCTTGTGGATGGGTCCTTTGCTTCTTAAAGTATTGGAGAATCATTAAAATCCTGAGGATTGTTTTCCTTAAAAAGGAAAAAAGACCTTTCCTTTTTGTTTTTCCTTAAAAAGATTCGTTAGAGCACAATTTAGTATTAAGCATTTATTTAAAAACCTAGGGACTTCCCTGGTGGCTCAGTGGTTAAGAATCCACCTGCCAATGCAGGGGACATGGGTTCAAGCCCTGGTCTGGGAATATCCCACATGCCATGGAGCAACTAAGCCCGTGTGCCGTAACTACTGAGCCTGCGCTCTAGAGCCTGCAAGCCACAACCAGTGAAGCCTGTGCGCCTAGAGCCCGTGCTCTGCAACGAGAAGCCGCTGCAGTAAGCCCGCACACCACCACGAAGAGTAGCCCCCGCTCACCGCAACTAGAGAAAGCCGACGTGCCGCAACGAAGACCCAACACAGCCAAAAATAAATTTAATTAATTAATAAAAACCTAATGAGGGGCTTCCCTGGTGGTCCAGTGGTTAAGACTCTGCACTTCTAATGCAAGGGGCATGGGTTTGATCCTTGGTCAGGGAACTAAGATCCCACATGCTGTGCAGTGTGGCCAAAAAATAAATAAAAAACAAACAAACCAAAAAGTTAAAAAAAACCCTAATGAGATGAAGATTGTATTCAGTTTTTAAAATGAATAGAAAATGCAGGCCAATTGGTAAGGATTATGGTATTCAGTTGAAGCCTCAGCATCCTACGGCAGAGCCCTTACCTCACGCTGAAAATGTTTTATTTAAAATTAATTTAAAGAGTTCAATATGAGGTAGCTAGAACATATCTCATTTAATCTTCACCATAACGTGCTTAACTCTTAAAAGTTGTGAGAATGCCTCGAAGAGCTGCTTCTCAATTCAATATTGCTCTGAAAATACATTTCTGGGGGTAGACCCAGGCACTGCCATTTTTTTAAAGCTCACTAGGGGGATTCTAATGCAAAAACCATGATCCAGAATCACTATTAGTCATACTCAAAAGCAGCAGCACCCTAACTCAAAAATAACCCTCAGTGGCACAGCTGGCCCTCTCCCATACCCTATGGCCCCCGCAGAAACCTTGTAAAAAACTTTCCAACAGGCTGCCCTCAAATCGGGATTCCATTATCTTACTGACCTCCTGGTGTCAATTTCCTACATAATTACACACTTTGACTCAAGTCTCCAATTTCTCCTCAAACTATGTTTACTTCTTCCCATGTTCCATTCAACATCATCCCCTTTAGACAGAATGTAATCTGATCATCCAATTAATTTCTATGAGAACATAAACAAGGAAAACAATGAGCCAAATAACCTGACACTCCTATTTCTGGGAAGCTGCTAATACCTTTTGTTTTGGCCTCTAGCAGCTTGGATGAATATGAGAGGTGCTTGAGAATAAAATTTATCTCCCTATAGATTCGGTTCACTTAGGTACTATTTGCTACTTTTAAGATACAAACATGTCGGATATGTAAGCACAAACTTAAGAGTTTAGCCAAATTGTCCTAACAGTTAACCAAAAGAGCAGTGTAACTCCCATCATTTGAACCTCCCCTCTCAAGCCAAAAAAATTAAAATTCTACAATTACTTTCAGCATTTTCAACGATCCGCTTATTTTCAAAGCGTTTTTAAAAAAGTTCTCTGTAAGCTTTCCCATAAAATATTTGCCTTTTTGGTGGTAATTTATGTGAAATAGGCAAGGGCAACAATCAAAAGTTCACTTAAGAATAAGGTAAATCTTGGGGCTTCCCTGGTGGCGCAGTGGTTGAGAGTCCGCCTGCCGATGCAGGGGACATGGGTTCGTGCCCCGGTCCGGGAAGATCCCACATGCCGTAGAGCGGCTGGGCCCATGAGCCGTGGCCGCTGAGCCTGTGCTCTGCAACGGGAGAGGCCTGCGTACCGCAAGAATAAGGTAAATCTTAATTATACACTGACCCAAATATCAATAAGCTACAACATACTATATTATGAAACAGTGTGTTTTCCACACATTTCCCTATGGCTTTTAAAATTCTACTGAGTTTTTCTAGTTTGAAAGAATTTAAAAGTTCCCCCAACATGGCGAAAGCTCAGACATGACATTAGTTCCCTCTGGTTAAACAAGAACCCAGTTGAAGAATCCTTCCTTAATGAAGTTCTCTGGCTTGAATTTCAATCCTAACTTTAATTTTGGGGACAACAAAATTCCAGTACTTAATAGTACCTAGAGCAAGAGAAATGTACTTACCTGATCTCTAAGAATTCTTGGGGGCAGGCTTCTCACACTATTTCACAATATAAATTGTAAAAATAGGTTGGCAGCACTACACATATAGGAAAATAAAACTTCAGGTGATTCAAGATTAACTCACATATACACAGAGCCAAAAACCTACATAATTCCTG